CAAATATCTAAGTAAATTTAGAGTGAATTGTAAGGTTGCCAAGTACCCGTAAACTTGGAGATTGTGAGGTATCCAAGAACTCGAAGTCTTGGAAGATTGTAAAGGTTTGTCAAGCACCCGTGAAGCTTGACCATTAGTGAAAGAGTTGATCGAGCGGCTTCAGTCTGGACGTAGGTCACAAGTGGTGGTGACCGAACTAAGATATATTGTGTTTGCAATTCTCTAAACTCTAAACTCTTTATTTTTAGCACTTTAAATGCTTCTTTGATATCTTGTATGTGCTAGAATAAGTTCTATAATTGTGATATATTATATATAATGTATTGTTTGAATGTATTGATTAGATTTTCATATATCAAAGTTTGCTTGAAATGATTATTTAGAAACTAGAAGGGGGTTTTTGCGAAAATTTTTGTAATACTCAATTCTCCCCCCTCTTGAGTATGGAAGCCACATTCCTAACAATTACAAACACCACTAGGTAGAATTGCAGATTGCATAGAATAGGCTGGCAAAGCTTGCAGCACTAATTTAGCAAAAATAGCATGCCTAGCAAACACAATAAAGATGACTGATTCTAAGTAGACAGACAATTCTGAACTCTATCCAACACATGTCTGAAAGTACTTATGTTAACTATTTTATGGTGTAAGGGAACTACTAAGTACTTGCCAAGATCAGAAGTGATGCTAACACCAAGGTCGTCACTGATTTCTTTGGCCTTGCCAAAACTCACATTCTTAGAAAAATATGTTTTGATTTTCTCACCACTGACTTTCTGGCCAGATGCAACAAAAAAAGTTTTTAGAACTTGATTTATCACCAGAGCTTGATTTAGGCTAGCTTCAACACAAAGAATTATGTCGTCCGCAAAAAATATATAGGATATAGGTGGAGCATCTTTCTTCAACAAAACTAACTTCCAAGCTTTAGTCTCCATAGCTAACTGAATTATGTGGGCAAGTCTTTCAATACAAAGCATAAAAAAATATGGGGATATGGGATCCCCCTGTCTTATTCCTCTTTCAGGTGTAATGCTTCTAGTAGCTACTATATTCTAAAGCATGTTCATGGAAGCCGAAGAGATACAACTGTACAATAACTGGGCCAGGGAGTTAGGGATGCCAAGGTCTTTTAAGGTCTCTAACACAAATTTCCAACTTAAAAATCATAAGTTTTTTCTAAGCCCACCTTTCATCATCCACCCTTTATTCTCTTTTCTATTTCTCATTGAATGAATGACTTCTTGGGCAATTATTATATTATCATAACTTTGCCTTCCCTTGATGAAAACTACATTGATTTGGTGAAATAATTCTAGGCAGTAGATCTTTCAATCTTTTAGTAATTATCTTTGTTACGACTTTGTAAATAACATTACAAAAACTAATTGGTCGAAAATCTCTCATACATTAAAGGCTCTCCTTTTTAGGAATCATACAAATCAAGGTTTTATTAATTTCCTTGACTTTTTCAAATTGCAGAAGATATCATCAATCAGATTGCAAACTGAATCCTCTATAGCTCTCCATTGGCTTTGAAAGAAGATAGCATGCAGTTTATTAGGTCTAGGGACTTTGAACTTCCCTATCCTAAAAATGGTTTTCCTTATTTCCTCTTTACTAGGTCTTTTTGACAGAGAAACTTTCTCCTTAACAGAAACATTAGGAAAGGCATTCTGTATAAGGAAGATCCCATCATCCTCCTCATCAGCTTTGAATAGGTTTTAATAAAAGGAGACAACCGTGTTAACAAGCTCCTTAGTATTAGCAACCCAATTACCAAGGTCACTTTTGTAGATTGAAGATATGTTTTGACGATAATAAAGTGGCAACAACAAAAAGAAAAGAGCCTTGATGACAACAAGGCAAGAAGAATAAAACAAGAAACAATGAATTGAGATGACAATCCAAGAGCAATAAGCATTAAACTTAGGCAATAATCATGAAGAGATTTGAAGAGCAAAACCAATATCAAAGGGCTAAGTATTTCCAACAAGTCAAGAACACAAGTCAAGAGAAGTATCAAGGTCCAAGCACTAATATAAGAAGCTAAGTCCAATTCCTTATTAGAATATATTTTTAGGACTTAGATATGATTGTAAGGATATATGGTAGATTACATTGTATGAGTTCAAATTTTTTCTCAAAGTAAATGTGTTTTTCAAATTGGATAATCCATGGCCTTTAAATACTTGAAAGAATTTGAAGAACCTATGAAAAATATTTTTGACATGTTTTATAACTTCAAAACATATTTATCAAGTCAAGATCTTTCATAAAAAGTTACTGAAAGCAAGCTCGAACACATTTGAACTTAAAATTTATTGCATAATTCGATTGCTATCTTCCGAACAATTTTTCGTATCAAAGATTATAGATTTGGATATTGTGTTCTCATATAAGTTATAGATCTGTCTTTTATCTTTCCAACGATACCAAGATCACGTCAATCTGACAAGAATAGCTTAAGTATGCCCAAAATACGAAATAATGTCCTTGCAGTTGAATTTCCAACATCTAACATGGTTGGTAATCGATTACCTGCATACGGTAATCGATTACCACTGACCAGAAACGAAAAATAACAGCTATAAACAACTAATTTTCTATGGAAACGATATATATACATCCCCAATGACTCTAAACCATTTTGGGCATTATTTTTACACATTTTAAGGATATTTTGATCATCATTTATATAAATTTTAATATCATTCAAATATCACACATTCTTGAGCTCGTGTCTTGAAAACCCATATACACATAGTGCTTCAACTTGTATTATCCACACTTTAAGAGTGTATATTCTTTTTCAAATATATTCCTTTGTATTCTTGAGTTTAGAGGGTTGTGAGACCCATTGTATTTAAGAGATAACTAAATACCTAAGTAAATTTGGAGAGATTGTAAGGTTACCAAGCACCGAGAAGCTTGGAGGTTGTAGTGGTTTGTCAAGCACCCGTGAAGCTTGACGGATAGTGAAAAAATTGATCGATCGACTTCAGTCTGGACATATGTCGCAAGTGGTGGTGACTAAACCAAGATATATTGTGTTTGTGATTCTCTAAACTTTTAACTCTTTATTTTTAGTATTTTAATTGCTTTTTTGATATCTTGTATGTGCTATCATATGTTTTATAATTGTGATATATTATATGTTATGGATTGTTTGAATGTATTGATTAGCTTTTCATATATCAAAGTTTGCTTGAAATGATTATTTAGAAACTAGAAGGGGAATTTTACGAAAATTTGTTAATACTCAATTCACCTCTCTTGAGTATAGAAACCACATTCCTAACAATTTTTTAGGGTGACATTTCTATTGTGCCTATCATGGCAACAATTTTAAGGTGTGGTTTATTGACTCTTTGACTAGATAAGGGTCTGTCACCTTTAAAAGTATCAATTTGATATCTGATTGGGATATATTATTGTTTGGGGTCTTTAAGTGACATTTTGGTGGGGGCGGCTCTAAATCCTTTCCCCATCCCCCGCGGCACTCAGTTAATTTTATTTTATTTTATTTTTCGAACCCAGTTCCACCACACACCCCCACGACACTCATTTATTTTATTTTATTTACTTATAAGTGACCCTCCGAACTAGGACGGTGTGCCAAGTGACATAATCCCAGCAGTCTGAGCCCCATCATCTTTTTCCTTTCTCTTTCACTCAAATTTTTTTTCCACCAAATCCCTTATGTTCTCTCTTCTCTTTCCCTACAATCTCTTTCACTGGATAAAAAATTAAGACTGGGATATATCCAATTGCAAGGAAGTGTTTCTTTCTTCCAAAAATTTCGCGGTTTAAGCAGAGCATTATCCATTCACTGTAATATCTTTCACTCGTGTTATTTTTTCCACTGACTAGTAGTAAGGAAGTGTTTCTTTCTTCCAAAAACTTTTTCACCAATTTCTCTTTGTTTTGACCATGGGAACATTTAAAAACTTGTTCCTTTTTTCGAGGTAGTTAGCAGCAACAATATAAAGAAGGCAAGTGGTTTTTTTGATCTTTTATCATGTATTTTTTGATGTTTATAAATTGCACTTGCAATTTGTAATTGATAAAAGCATGTTACTAAAGTCTATTAGGGAAACTAAAAAAAATAAAATAAAAGCCTGTTGAAGTTGAGTTTATTTATATTTATATATCAATAGTCTATTCTGAGATGGTCTTGCTATTCAATTAATTATGCCATTCAATTTTTCTTCTTTCTTTGCTAAAACCATGAAGTGATTGTTCTAGATATATAGCAAATGATATATGCTTCCAATTATTATAGAAAAGAGATTTCAGAATTGCTCGAAGAAATCTCCATTAGCACCTTGCAGTTATGCATAATTTACATTCTTTAATAATAGGAAACTAGGATTTTACAATCTCTAATATTAGGTAACTAAGAATATATGGAAACTAGGAAATTAAGAAAAAAAATACAAATCAAATGCTAAGCGCATATAGTCTCTAAATTGGAGATATAGGAATTTTTCCCCATATAGAAGATATTTTTTCACACTCTATGTAGTTGGAGCATACAGTCAGGGGTGAATTTTACTAACCTAAACCGATGCATTTATAAATTAGGTAGTAATAAATTTTTTTAATTAATTTTTAATTTATGATTCATGTATGTAAAAGCACGTATGTAGAGCTGCCTCTTTGTAATTAATTTTATTTAATATAAAATGAAATTAAAAAACCACGGATTTCTATCAATGAGAAGTCTAGATAATATTTAAATAATTAAATAATAAATAGATAATTATGTAATTAGATAATAATATTTATAATATTAGATAATTACATAATATTTATATAATTAGATGATTTGTGATTAATACTTAGGATTTATGTTATAGTGTGTTAATAACGTTATTTATATTATTGTTATTTAGGGATGGTATACGATAATTCATCTGAGAGATGTCTTCATCCCGGTCCTCGCGACAATAGTGTATTATTCATGCAATCTAGACACCATTGGATGTTTCCTGG